GTGAGACACGTAGTCCCAGAGACCTGAACACATTTGGATTAAATACCTATAAATGAGTTTAAAACACAGTATTTTTATACATCTAAGTGTGTCACATGACTCTTTACGTTAGAGGAAAAGTGAAGGATTTGTATTTATATGTTTGACGCCAGTTTCAAAGTTTGACATTTAGAGATTGAGGCTCGGTTATATAAACAGTCATCAGTGATTCACAGTGAGAAGGAATAAAACTGTCGGCAATTCATACCAAAATAATAGGCACAGATGCTGACTCCTGGTTGAATGACAACTCTCCAGTTCCCTTTACAGTTTTTTGTTGTTGTTGTTCCTGTTGAAACTTTTTAATTAAGCAAAACTGAATGGGCTGATTGTGTGCGGCCCACCCCAAGCAATGATGATAACACAATTGGAATGTTGATCTGAGACTGCAGGAATACTTTCATCACAGAAAGCTGTGTGGCGCTCCGATTGTTGTACGAAACATAACGTGACATATTTGTTCCAGGTGGCAGTTTTGATAATTATAAGGTCTTAAAACATTCTGTAATGCTCATGCACACACACAAACGCACACACACTTTCATTCTCAGTCTTTCAGTGTACTAATTAACATTCCTGTCAGGCAAGTTGAGGCTCATCTGCACTGTCTCTTTATTGTCAGGAGCTGCAAAGGCTTCATGCATATGAAGTTCACCCAGTCCCCAGACGGCCGCTACGTCCTCGGAGAGAACAGCCCTCCGTTCTCGACCATCCCCGAGGTCATCACCTACTACACGACACACAAGCTGCCAATCAGAGGAGCCGAGCACATGTCCCTGCTGTATCCTGTCCCAGTGCAGACCCTCTGACGGTGACATACACATCCTGATTTTCATGGTGCTACTGAATATATTCTTATATACATATATATTCTTAGTATTTACCTATTTCTACCTGTGTCCTACATGCTATGACACTGCCATTCTACCTGCACAGCTTGCAAGAGATTGGACCATCTGGTGCCATCTTTTCTGTTTTTACTTTAATCCCTGTATCTACACTGGCCGCTTACAAGAGAGCTCAGTGCTTAAGGAATCTGTGAAACAGTACATCACTGAAATCCCTCTATTTATCTGTCACGGACTCTTGAAAGTCAGCAATTGTTGAAAATAGGATTGTTAGCTGAGTACTTTCACCTCACAGAGGAAAAAGACAAAATCTAGTCTTGAGACGGTAGAATTTATGTAATCTTGCATGGAGTTTTGTCTTTATTGCTGTCAAATGTGAAGCAGACTTAAAGAATATTATTGGTGGGGTCAGGGTGGCCTTAGCTTGTGCCAATAATCCAGTTTTTTGTTTGTTTGTTTTTTCTTGTCACATGAATTTCATGTTTTAAACTGACAAAAGGTCAAAGTGATTGGAGCTCTGGTGTGAGGATTGAGAACTAAATTTAAAAGGTTGGAAATGCAGTTGAAATCATGCTGTGACTACAAGCAGTATTGTTGTTGTTTTTTTTTTTGGTTTTTTAAGTTTTAGTTACAATTATGAACCAAACACTACATATTTAAGCCGGACCATCTCTGCGCCCTGGGGTTTTCTCTCTGCGCGTTTCAAAGGCCCGCCAATGTTACTTGATGCTGTAGCCGTTTTGCCCTGCAGTGTTCTTGGCTCCTCTTGTTAATGTGTGAACAACACAAAGTTGACTGCATCACACAATAACAGACTCCTGCAATACTAGTTTAGAGAATATTAACTACAGTATTATACTGAAAGCTTGTGGCTTTGTGAACATGATTATCAAAGAAGCTTTGGTATTTTAATGACTGTGCTATTTTATAAAATTTTAAAACCCTGTAAAAATAAAGGTTGTGGTGTTTTCAGTTTGTCTCTGCATTCCTTTTTTTTTCTTTTTTTTTTTTAAATAAATATTTAATGTTTCATATGAGCTTCATAATGATAAATGTAATAATGTAAATTAAAATTTGGAATTGAATTAAAGGTAAGTTCAAGTTACTCCTCCAGCACACAGTTTAGCTTAGAAAATTACACACGCTTCTTTTTTCCCAGATGGAATGATGGATTTTTTAAAAAAAGAATATGGTGCACAACTTCGAATTTATTTTGGATTTTTTTCTAATCCACACAGTGTCAAAATTAAACAAGTTTAAAATGGTAGGATTCAAGGTTGTGGCTTTGGTAAGGAAATTCTGGATGTCCTGTGTTGGTCTGCTTTATCAGTTTATGTGCAATTACAGTCACAGTCCTGTTGGAACCCCCAGTTGTTGTTGTTTTTTTGTTGTTGTTGTTTTTTTAAAGTGCCCTTTCTCACTTTCCTGTCCCCCAGCCCATGTCTGTCCGTCTGTAACAACTGAAAATAAAATAAATAACAACAAAGGCTGATCAAATGGGCCAATATAGCAAGGCCATGATCAATTCTGACGGCTAAAGAACCACAAGGGACAGGCAAAAAAAACCACCATCATACCTGATAGCTGTTGATGTTTGTAGGTTTGACAGCCTCACCTTGTCATTCTAGCCAGCTCAATCTTTGTCTCGTCTGACCATCAAACTTTTCTTTAGTAGGTTTTCGACTTCTTTATGTGGTCAGCTACAAATTTCAGCTGAGCTTGTGGACATTAACCGATTTCCTCTCATCTGACAATGACAGTTTGGGTCTTCCAGTCCTTTACAAAGTGGTGATACATCTGAATAACTTGTATTTATGCGCAATTGTTTGATAGTTGTACATAACTACAAAGCTTAACAATGTTTTACATGTTGGAATGTGCAGTTGTTTAGAAAGAGGCCCTTCCATCTTGTGCACAGTTTTCAGTCTTAGCTCTTCACAGAGTTCCTTGAAATTTCCCATTGTTGAGTATTGATCACTCTAGTGAGTGCTGTCAAACATTTTATACCGATGATTTTTTTTTTTTTTTAAATATGACTGATAAGTCAGTCTCAATCACTGATGAGAAATTAATTTGCCTTGGCCAGGTCAGTTGTCTGGACTGGAGAAATGAATCCAAATTTGTGCATCTAATTCTTGTTTTTTAAAGTCTATGCTATACAGTCCTTCCAATATAGGGAAAAATGTTAAAAGGAATCATGATATTCATGCCCATTTGGAGTTTATGTAAACAAAAATATAGTAACTAAATCTTTAGTATTTTTGCAGTTGAAGAATGAAGGAAGTATGAATGCTAGTTAAAGTTAAATGCAGGTCTTATCTCACATTGCAGCTTTTCACTGCCAATGACAAAGTGAGAAATTTATGCGAGCAGCAAGTGGGAGACGATCTCGCTTTGCCAAGCACATTCAACATAGGCAGGTGTACTGTCACCTGTTACCACAGCAACCAGCAGGTTTCGGTGTCAACACAGAATGCTGCTACCTCAGCTGCAGGACAGGTAAGTATAGCTTTAAGGTAACTGAAAAAGTACTGTTATATGTTAAAGCTAATTGTGTGAATTGGTTTCTATTTATAGTGTAAGCAGTTTTGGAAGGGTATAATGCACTTGGCTTTGTAATGGACGCTACAGACAAAAATTATACATAGGTATTAAAACTCGTTTTGCCTAGACAACTAATCAGGCTTGTTACACTACTTGGAAAAAGCCATTAGTCATTCCTCATGCGTTACGTTTTGCTTCCAAACTGTCAGACTTTCGGTTGTTTTTCAAAAGTGATTTCAAGCAGTAGTTGTAGTAATAAAGAAAGGGAAAAGTCGACATAGATCTGACTCATGACCTATCAGAAACGGTCTTAGTGGAAAAGATGTCAAGAAGTTATTTTTTTTAGGAAGTGAAACGAGGAGAAAAGAATCTGAGTTTGGAATTTTTAAGCTGACAGCATCAACTGTATGTACAGTAAAGGTCATCAGGGAGGTGCAACAGTTAGTGTCTACAGCATCAGTAAAACATCTGTAGAGCTGTCATTGTTTGGCGCCATTTCAGCCAGTGTTGTTGGAGATCTTTAAAAAAACCGACTCAATTATGAACACAGGAAAGTATTGTCAGGCTTTGATCCATCATGCATTATCATGGAAAGCATGTGATTGGCAACAGCTTGATTTTTCAAGATGGTAGTTATCTCTGTCAGTGAAGTAAAAGCGTACCTGGATAGGAAAACATTAAAAACTATATCAACATTATTGAAGCATTGCAGGATCATCTTGATAGAAAATGGAGCAAAAGTTAGCCAACATCTAAAGAAGAGCTTTGAATACCCTTCAAGAACACTGGAGAACTATACCAAAGTAACGATCATCCTAATGCTTTTATCCAGACATTGTATCGTCATCTTTAGGCAACTAAAAGTTATGAATCCCAAGCCGCTCAAGCATTTCAGCTTCATCTGAGACTACCATTATGATAATGATCGACCAGAACTACTGACAAATGTGCTGTCTCAGATATAAAAGTATGTGGTTGTAATTGAGAAACTCTCTTTTGTTACAACTGAATCATTTTAGCAGCAAAGCGTTCTCCCAGTTGCATAAAGTGTTTCCATGGCGACTCGGATACAGCAGTTGGCTCAACCCAAACCAAACAGACTAAGATATCCAGACCGGTATGTCTGAATCGCACCCTTTAACGAAGCTCTCTGTCTTTGTCGCCTTCTTTTTCACAAATGGGCTCTTTTCTGTTTTTCAGTCGGTCTGTTTACTGGCTGGATAAGCTTCCACCAGAAAGGAGCGGATTAACCACTAAAATTGGTCTGTGTACCCATCGTTTCCTTTTTTCTTCTCTTGGCAAACTTGATCTTTGCTGCCTTTTTGTAACACCATGCATAATTGTTATTTTGTTTTCAACAGAGTTAACCCCCCGCTGGTCGGACTTGTGCATAAGTAGAAAGTTCTACAATCAAGTCACGTAAATATAATAGACTTCTAATAAATGCGCGACCCATTTTGGGCAGTTTCTTAATAACTTTATGGGGGGTTTTTTTCAGAAAGATTTATGTGCTCTTATACGTACGATATGAGTCAGTTTTCTAGTTTCTTGTTCCTTTTTTTAAAAGTTTTTAATGTTAGATTTTCCCACAGCTTTGTCACCCTGTCCCCATTAAGATCTTATGTTGTACTAATATTATTAGCAAGATCCAGTAAACCAAGATAAGAAACTTGTTTGATTGGATTCAAGTGATGAAACTTTCATCATCAGTGTTTGCAATCAGACCTCTCAGAATTTTCTGTGTGCATATCTGCAGCAGAGTAAAGTGCAGACCTTCATGAAGCCTGAAGCTTCTGAAGCCTTCCCTTTAGAGGCCTTGGCCCTGACATAACAAGAAAACCTATTTATAATCATTTTCTTGGCACTATACATGTCACAAACAAACACGTCAAATTAGGCAGTAGCTAAACTGTACCTGCAAGACCTTTTTTTTTTTTTTTTTTATAGCGCTCTCCATCTTTATGTCCTTCCTCAGAATTTCTCCCATATGGCAGGTCAGTGAATGGGCTCTTAAGGCCGTCCCATCCAAACGGGTGTGTCATCTGGCTCAACCTCGGATGCCTGCAGCTGGTTGGCAGCCCGCCTCCCCGTTGTCGGTCCCTGTGAGTAACACAAACTATTTCCTGAGACAAAACAAATGAATATGTGGTGCATTGTTAGATGACTGCTAGTTTACCATGTCTGCCACAAAGTCTTTAAAACTCCACAGCTTACTGTGTTAGTTAGGCCAGAATTTCCGGTATTTAAAGCGCTTGACCAAAACTTTAAAATATATTATATAATTATATTATAACTTTCAACAGAGCCGTCTTGTGTTTTTTACTGGTTTTGTATTCTGAAAGCATGAATAGGTCCAGGTGTTTTGTGGTTGGCTTTGACTTTCCCTTCAAGGAAGGTTAGGATGATCAAAGTTAATATCTTCCCTAATCCTGAGACGTGTGATTGCCTGTACATCCTTTCAACTTAATTTATCTAATTAGGCGTGGTGTGATACATTTCAATTTAAAGTGTGTGACATGACTATAAATCCATGTTTCATATGGGCAGGATGAAAAATACTTGACTGACACCATTCTTCTTTGTGTTTAATAGGCTTATTTACAAATTTGATTCCAGGTAAGCACACAGACAGCTGTTGCCACTTCACGGATCTGCCAGCTCGCCCAGCCAAAGCGAAGGCAGGTTCTGGAGAAATCCAGGCACGAATCTAAACATGTACAAGTAATCCACCTGCCCTCTAAAGCATCTCCACACATAGAGCTACTCGCCAGTAAGTCTATTTTTTTCCACCATGCAATTTTCACCTGCTTGCTTCTTTGCTTGTCTAGGCTCTCAGTCACCCAGGTAAAGGTTCTCTAGAGAGCTTGAAATAAAGGCAACTGGACTTCTTTAGGTTACTGAAGTAGCTCCACTTCTTGTCCGTGGGGGTTCGTCTGAATACAAATTTGTTTTTAGAATTGAGTTGCTTTTTTTTTTCTTCTTCAAGCTGTCTAGACTTTTTGCATGTGTTTAAACTTGCATTGTATTGTCTGCCAGTTGACACAATCACCTTTGTTGCCCTAGCTCCGAAGAATGACCACCCCGAGTTCAAAGGAGACCGCCCAGTGTGCTGGTCCGTTTCCAAAGCTGCAAAGAGCTACATAACCAGCCAAAGACTTCTTGATCTGTCCAGTCCTAAAGAGAGGAAGGCTCTGTATGAGGGATATGACCCATACACGATCAGCCGGGGAGCCCGATCAGCCAGCCCCTCTCCCAGAATACAACAGCTCTGTTTGCCTCTGTCTCGCAAATGCAGCTCAGAGTAAGAGCAGTGACGGCAAACACCGGTCCCCAGAGAGCTGTTGATTGTTCCATTTTCCTTGCCGAAGACTGTAATCGTGATGAAGTGTTTTCCTTGTGAAATAATGACTAAGCTTTGTTATTTGTTCTGCTGCGCGAATAGCTATGCACATAAGTAAAAGACTACTGCAACATCTTAGTGTTTAAGCCCTTGGATATTTGCCACTGTGGACTTACTGTATTAACTGAAGATTTCCTGATTTTACCCGTCTAATTTTTGCCAGGATAAAGCTGCTGTTAAGTGTAATTATTCTCCTTATTTTCCTTAAAAACATGCTCGTGTGTGAAATATCTTTTTTAAAGACTATTGTTGTGCATCTTTGGTAATGATGCAGGTTGATTAGACCAACTGGGGGGATATTCTCACCCACAGATGAAGTTTCTTTGTGATATTATGCAGCACATATCCTGTAGTACATCCTTCACGTCTTAATTGCTTTTATAGTTATTGTTAACACAAGCCCCATGCGTCAGTTTTACACACTGCAGACTAATTTCGAGGCTAAGAAAGGTAATATCTGAAAGGAAACGATTTGTTATTATTATAGTGCAGATGCGCCTAATGGTTTTGGAGTAGTTTCTGTGTAAATTGGCCACAACATAGAATGCGGGAAAGTGAAACCTGTTTTTTTTATTTTTTTTTCGTTATAGAAAAAGTTATGAGTTATTTGTGACGTATAAAATCATGTAGGCTATATAAAAGTGACCGTTTGGGGGGACCTCGATCCGCAGTTAGGCAACCGCACGCCACACATTGGGCACGGAGTGGGGCGGTACTGGTGTGTTTACTTCGAGGTGACAAGCGGCAGATTTTGCGCAATCGCTGTAGATGAACTCTACGAGACGGGTATCATTCGGGCATAATCCGGTAAGAGGAGTTCGGATTTTGACATTTTGCAGCCGCTCGTTTCGTTTCATGAATTGCAACTTCGGTTGAAACTCACATAGTGCATGTTTGTTCTGCTGTTTAACGTGATTAACGCTTCAGTAAGCAAACAGAAAAACAACCTGTCAAGCTGCTCAAGCGTTAGCGGTTTGTTGACGAGAAAATCTGCTACCACAATTCTTAATGAGTGATTAAAAGTGATTGTTGCTTTATTCCTTGAGCTCTCATTGGTGCTTTCGCGCATCGTTATTAGTGAGTTGGTTGAGAAGTCGGCTTTTTCAGTTTGAAAAAAAAAATCGCCCATTATTTGCAAATTTCGAGTTCACTTCGTTGCGATGTTTTACCCAAATCTATTTTGATCAGCTGGTCAAAAACAACGAAGAAAAAGGAAAAACAAAAAGCATCGTAACCATTTCGCTATAACGCATTTTAAATTAAATTAAATAAATGTGGAAAGTGATCAAGAATGACCAGAAAGCCAAAGTGCTCCAGCTGTTACTGTCCTGTTGTGAACCTGCTGAGTTACAATAGAAACAGATCGCGGAGCCCATCAAATAAAAATTGGAGTAACAGTGATCCAATTAAAAACAAATTTATTGGGGTCATCCTGTAGTTCAGTGATTCGTTTATATGCATAATAATAATAATAATAATAAAAAGGAACACTTGAGCAATGTTTAACTCTGACTAACTTCCAACCTTCAAAGATTTGATTATTTTGATTTCCACTGAACTTGTTTTTATCATTTTGTTTTGATTAATAAAGATCCAGTGTGTGACTTAAGAATTTCGTGATTTTTTTTTCTTCAATATATTTAAAGCATTTTACGTCTATTAATGTTATTCGTGCAAAGGTGGAATACTTGAAAGCTACATCATTTCTGTGTTTAGAAGCACTAAACACAGTAAATCAGCGAATAGTTTATAATCTTCTATATATTACACACTGTGCTTTAGCTGAAATGAAGCTTCCTTTAAATAATTAAATTAAATAATCAAACTGTTTTATGAACCCAAAACAAGTTGCATCTAAAACTCTCAGTCACCGTCTCCTCAATCTGAAAACTATGAATCTAGCACAAATGTAACTTTAGATTTCAGAGTGAAGTTTGTTATGGGCAATTCTGATTGGCACCTTTTTGCACATAAAAGTTCTGATATTAGTGCATTAATAAATGTATAAAGTTCACAATGTTTTTAAAGCACAACATCTGGGCCATTGCTTACTTTGCTTGATGTTTAGTTAGCAGTATCAGCTTACTGCAACGACCCTTGACTCAGGCTGCTATGTATGCAGATACCAATATATCAGATTGTGAGAGATGTATTAGATGGGCTATAATGATAATCCATTTTAAAATGCTGTTTTCTATTCTGACTTTAAATAACCAAAAAATCTGGAGTGGCTTTGTATTGGTGTGCGCCAACACACTGAGTAAGAGCTCCCACCCTGAGGGGAGCTTTGTTTTCTGTCAAGGGGAAAAGTCAGATGTCAAATTGTTTATTGTGATCGATCTAGTCACCACTTGCAAGCTTTCACAAACTTTAGAAAGTCACTTGCACAAACTGTCACATTGGTTGGTGCGTTTCCTATGGTGCAATGCCAAGGAACTCAAAGCAGTAAAAAAATGTTGTAGTGAAACCGTTTTTAACTTACAGAAATGCATTCAATGGAAATGATGTAATCTAACCACTAAAGCTATTCATTATCAGGCATCCTGTGCTGACACTTCACAAATCTTTTTAGCAATTTTGCGGAACAGCGTGCAGAGTCCTTGAAGAGTCCTTGATTTGCATGTAGCATGATGGGAGTGAGTGGGTGAAAAAGCAGTTGGTCTTCATGGAGCGGAGTCCAGCTGTGATGTGGACCTGGCTGCTGGGGGCTGGACTCGTCCTGGGTAATGTTTAACTTTGTTATCTTTCTGCTGTTTGTTATCATCCAGAGCAAACTTTCAAACAATATGTGAGGATGTGCTGGTATTTCTGGAAGTGTCGTTAGTGGAACCGGGTAATAATTTGTTATTTAAATGACAGAATCTCACCAAGCATGAGAAAGTTACAACCACAACATGTCACACCACATCCCTCTACTTTCCTCCCAGGTTATTGTTTTTGGTTTTATACCACACAGTTTTGTTATTCTACTGTATAATAACCATATAACACCAATTAGCAGACAAGCTTATCAACAAGTGAGTGAATGCAGTGCTGCACAACATTTTGTTATTTAAGCCTGTGAAGACCAAAACACGGAGTGCGTAATTCGGCAAGCATTTGTCGGATGACTAGAAGCATGTCGTAAGTGGCACATTATTATCATTATTTTCATAGGTGACAGGGGACTTCAATAGCAGTAAACCTCCTGTTGCAATGCAATGTTCCGCTTGCAAGACATTCACGAAAGTGCTACTTGCACTAATGCACACCCATCACACGAGCTCTGCCTATCAGCAGTGTCCTCCCCCAGCAGTGGAATGCATCCTGCCACTCCAGAAAAACAACTGAGGAACAGCTTGGAAACACAACTAAGAGCCCAAGGTGTTGAATCTCTCTGCAGTCTCCCCCTTAGCCCAGTCCACTCAACCATCTACACTGGAACTAGCCTGATCCATGCAGGCCCCAGTGTGTAACCCACTGGATTCAAAGGATCCCCGGTATACACCCTGAGGCCAGAAACTGCAGTTCAGCCCCAGATCCCCTATTTATGCATCATCGGTTTAAAGTTTTGCCTCTTTTTAGCTTTGATCTTGCAGTAGATTGGTGATTTTGAGACAGCTAAAAGTCCCCAAATGTCAGCATTATCATCATTCTGAAGAAATCAGTCCACCTGTACCAGCGTATGGTTATATTGGCTTACGACAGGTATACCCAGCAGGCAAAACAAGCTATGGCAGTAGGAGCCAAGAAAGGATATTGTTCCGTCTTGCCTGAACTACTGTTGTAACCTCAGGGAAAATAACTTATAAATGGCTGAAAGCTAATTAATTCCTCTCATCATCTCTTTTTCACCATCCCAAATTTGAAAACAGTGAGTCAGACTTGGGCAGTGGAGGTTTTGCATACCTGAGTCACATGAAAGCCTTTCTCTGCACTGTGTTCACACTCTGAGATGATAAAACAGTTGCGCTGATGCTTAAAATGTGCGTAGCCTCATTTTTTTTGAGCACACATAATCAATCAAAACTTCAAAAGAGACTGGCATCAGTATAAATCCTGCTAATAAGGATGAGTCTGCTTAATAAAGGTACCGCAAGGCACGAGTGCTGACATGCAACGACTGGCTCATAGATAAAAGGTCCTTATTTTATTTGATTTTTTTTAAATCCACTTTTACCCACCTACACCACACAATAAACTAAAAACCACACTCATCCTTATCAATGAACTGCAACATGTGTTTTTCCATGTCATTAACTCCAGCCACTCTCAATTCTTCCAGTGTTTTGCATTACAACATCCACGGCCTTCCCCCGACCCCCTCGGCTAATCGGCTGTGTGTTCATACATCGAGTTAATGTCACCTGCCACTGGGAGCCCGGAGACACGCCAACAACGAAATACACTCTGCAGGTTGAGAAGATATCTAGGTGAGACAAAATGTTCTTTTACATAAAAAGAAAGACAAAGACATTTGAATAATATGTAGATAAGGAAAGTGAAAAAGAAACAACGTAAAAATCTATTTTTGTGATCATGATTTTATAGACCCTAATCAAAGTATCTAATCAGAATCAGTTGTTAGGTTTAACACAATCGTTTGAAAAATGTTATACTACAGTATTTTAATTTTGGAAAGGCCATCACACACAAATCTTCAGTGTTGTTCTTCGGAGATCTGATGCCTGCAGCCTATAATTTACATCATTTTTCATATTCATCACCCTGTTGACTAGGTCTTTTGTTTCCCATTTGTTTTTTTTCTTGTTCTTTCATTCACTCAAGTTCTCCCTTTTGATGTATAACATTGGTAGATTAACAATGTCCACTAACCCCATGAAAAGTCCAAAGTACCACTCCGTCTTTTTGAAGATGTATCTTTTTAAAAAAAATGTTTGAAATTGATCATTTTCCATGTCTAAAAAAACAGCTTTTCTCAATAAAAGAACTCGCTGTTGATGTCTTTTGGGGCAAGGGTGGCAAAGGTGAAAAACCCTTACAAGTATCAGCTTTTGGCTACACGGAAAACCTTTTGTATTTTTAGTTTTTTAATCTTGCATCTTTATTCTACGCTGCAACAAAACATTCATAGTATAACAACATGAAAACATCAGGCATGTTATCATTAACCTCCAGGAGACTTAACACCTGAGCTCTGCTCAGCTTTACGGGGCTGTAAGGGAAAGTTTCAGGTCATTGTTTCACAGACTGACTCATAATTTTACTATTATGATGAACGCTTACTGCTCTTACCTGTCT